ACTTGAGGAGGGTTCATGTGCACGTTCAACTTCCCACCCACCAGGAGACGCACTGTAGCTGCAAACTTGGTCTGTGTCTTCAGGACCTGAGGGGGCTGCTTCTCAATGATGAAGGTGCTGGAGGGAAGAGAAAGAACCAGACACCCAGGATGCTGCTGACACCAGATGACATCATCCCTTCCCATGAGGCAGTTTTTCCCCCAGCCTGAAGCAGCAGACAGGAAATCACTAGAGCTGCTTCTCAGGGCCTGGAGGTCAAGCGGCTAGGTGTACTAGGGATGGCCTTGGGCCCTTTGAATTCCTAGGCATGGGTGGGCCTCCCCTAAGAAGACTGTAGCTGTAAAAGATGGATGACCCTGCTCTTATCCAGAAGAAGGACACTGAGAGTTAGAAGACGGCAGGAAGGGGAAGGGACCTAAGTTAGAAGGCCAAAAGGAGCCAGGGACCACTGGACTGGGGGAACAAGGGAAGGTGGGGCATCTGTTCTTGGGGAGTTCTCTCAGAAGCAGAGAGAGCCATCCCTCTCTCCAGCACACTGTCTGTTGGGAGTGAGAACCAGGGAAGCTCAGTCCAAAGCAGCCTGAGAAGCAAGAGCCCAAGAGAAAGGAGAACAGCACAAGACAGGACTGCCAGATGTCCCAAGCTCAGTGATCCCCAGAACTCTCCCTTGCTCTCCAAGGCTGGGCTGGCTCAAGACCAAGGGAAGCTTGGAGCAGTCACCTGGTCACCAAGGCAGAGATGATGTCTGTGATGGTGGCATTGAGCTCAGTCAGCATCTCCTCCACGGGTCCAGGAATGGGCAACTGCTGACAAAGATGCTCAGCCCTCCTGATCTGCTGCCGGTTCTGCCAGATGATCTCAGCCAACTTCTCGCACCTGGGTGTGGAGGCCACAGGGCAACACAAAGGGAATGGGTTAAACTGTCCAGGACACAGGCTGATCCAGTATTGGCCTAGGGAGAGACAGCCCATGCTAGACAGGGACCTCCTCTCCAACCATGGGAAGGGCCTCCCAGTAAGGATTGGGGTGGGGCTGGGGGCAGTGCTTGGCTTCAGCCACCTTCCCTAACCCTTCAGGCTGGAGGACAGCTGCAGAGCTTCGGGGCCCCAGGACCAGCCCTGAGGGTGCAGCCCCACGGCCAAAGGCCCGTCCAGCCTCAAGGCCCCTCGCTCACATACCAAGACTGCAGGACGTCCAGGCTGCCCTCTGGAGGCCCCCCATTCCCGGCCAGCTGCTGCCTTCTCTTCCACTGGATCAGCTCATCGTCCAGAATGACAGTTTGCTGCTTCCGGAGCAGCTGCAGGGTCTTCTGGTGTTTCTCTGCCAGCTCCTGCCAAGGTCACTGGATCAGAGACAAAGCTGGGAGCCACCTCACAGCTCCTCTGGTCCAACCCTCTCACTTGACCCATGAGCAGACAAGTCCAGAGAGGGCCAGCTCCAGTTCCCACAGGGAACAGTGCTAAAGGGCAGAGCTGGGATTAGAAGCCAGGTGTTCTGACTCCCCGGGGTGAAGGCCAGGTCCCTTGGAGGGCTCAGAGCACAGCCTATCTCTGCTCCACTTAACAAAGAGGAAAATGGCAGGGAAGGTCTTTTCTCACAGGCTTGCTCACCTCTCTTGGTCCAGCTTCCCCACAGAGAAGGGAATCCACTGCAGCCGCCCTGCCTGGCTCTTTGGCTCAGCTCCCCCCAGAAGGGATCAGGACGTTGCTGCCCATGTGAGGACACCCACCACCCCTGACCCGCCATCACTTCTGCCCAGGACAGAGTGGAAAGGAAGGAGCTCACCACGCGGTACTGCTGGAGAGTCTGGGCCTCCCGCTGCAGCCAGGCCTCCAGGGACACCTGCTTCTGCTGAAGTGCTGTTTCCCTCGTCAAGCGTTCCTGGGGGCTCAGCTGTGACAGCTGGGAAAACTGAGCTGTGGGGGACAGGAACAGACCAGGACACTGCCCTTTAGCCTTCACCCAGGAAGCTTTGGGGACCCAGGCACCTTCTGATCAGGAGGCAGAAAGGCCCACAGTGAGGGATACCTCCCCTCCAAAAAGGGGAGAGACCCCTCTGAGCCAGCGCCCTCCTACTTTCACCCCCCTCTCCAACACCAACCAGCATCTTGTTCAGCCATTCCTATCAGTGCCTCTAGATGATGGAGGCATGAGGTCTTCAACCTATCCATAAATAGCCTCATCCTTGTCCCCCAAACACAGCAATGGACAGTCAGGGCCCAATTCATACTCCACACTCTCTCCCATCTGCCTGGGGATGGCAGCTTCTCCCAGAGGAGGAATGTGATGAGGGAGAGTGTACGTGTGTGAGTGTGTGTGTGTGTGTGTGTGTGTGTGTGTGTGTGTGTTCAAGAGCCAGAAGACCGGCACCAGAATGCCACGATCCCACGGAAGGTGCAAAGTGAGGGGAAGCTGTCTGATCTCAGGACAGCCTCTCATGTACACAGGGTGCTCATGCTCTGGCTGCCTCCAACTGTGCTCCCAGCCCAGGCACTTGAGCCTGGCCTTCTGACAGCATGCCTGTCTGGCTCCCCCTGGGACAAGGCCAGGCTCCAGCCTAAGAGAAGAGACTCCTGGAAGGCCAGGAGAGGGAGCTCCTGGAGCCCCACAATTGGTTTTTTCCATGGACAGCCCCAGCCTGCTTCTTCTACTCTGAAGGCTGCTGCATCCTGGGCACAAGGCAAACACTATGCCCTGCTCAAAGGAAGGGCTGTTCAGCTGGGAGCACTGAGCTGCTGAGCTGCTCCACAGACACCTCCTCCTGGAAGCCTTCCTGAAGCGAGGCCTCCCACAAACCCTCAAATTCAACCAATTCCCACCATCCCTGCTTGGGCAGACCCTGGCAATTTTGTGTTCTAAGGAACATTCACATGTGTTTCCTGTTTGGGGGAGGCTGAGATGATGGGCATTTTTAAAGCACCTGCTGTGGTCACAGCAGTGGCCAGTATCACACTTAGATTGGGAGCTGTCTGAGAGCAGAACCAGTTTCCCCATTGGACTAGGAGCTGGGTGAGGGAGAGATCAGGTCCCTCCCTTCTTCTTTAGCCCCTTTGCCACTGTGCTGCATTTCTCAGGGATGGGGCTCCCTGACGGCTCCAGCCCAAGGCCAATGCCCCAAATCAGGAGCCCCATTTTTCTATCCAGTCCTGAGCTCTCTTGGTACTTCCTGTTCCCACCTTCAACCCCAGCCCTGACTCCAGCCCCACTGGCCTCACCCTGGTTTCTGAGGCTCTCCTGGTACTGGATGATGAAATACTCCTGAGTCTGCTGCAGCTTCTTCAGCTCATTCTCTGTGTCCTGAGTGACCAGTCGCAGCTCCTCAAAAGTCTGGTTGATCTGCAGGTGTTTCTGGGACATCGCATCAGCCAGGTTACCGGCTGGAGAGCTACACTGCACAAAGAGAGAGGGCAGGGGGAGAGGCAGCAGGGTCACCCAGTCAGAGGGGCCCTGAGGCCTCAGGCACAGCCAGTGGCTTTCTGTGGTACACTCCACAGACTCCAAGCCTGCAGCCCCAAGGACAAGACAATTACCATTTGGGCTACAGAAAGGAAAAAAGTCAGCTAGGAAGACTAGGAGACTCTCACAGGGCACAGCTCTGAAGAAAAGGAATCTTGATTTGTTTCAGGCCTAGCCTCCCTGAGGAAATCCTCAGTGGGCTCCCTAGAGGGCATAAGGAGAGGGATTATGCCAGAGGATCATTTGGGGATTTTCACTAACAATGAGGACTCCTCTTTCTAGACTAGATTTAACCAGGCTGACCCCGACCTGGTTAAATCACTCAGCTCTTTCTCCCTCGCTATGGAAGAAAATGTTCCAGCCATGTAGATGGCACAGTCTCCCAAAGAGATTTCAACTCTTCTTCTCCCCACACACCCATTGACTTACAAGGCTAATGCAGCCAGGTTTCCATAGCACCAACCACCCAGTGATTTATTTCCATCAAGACATTTTGCTCTGTATCAACCAGTTTCTCTTCCAGCCCACTACTAATTGATATGACCCTCAGATGGAGAGGATTTGGAATCCTTAATATCTCCAAAAACAGCATCATCCTCATCCTTCATAGAGAACAATTCATAATCAAAGCCTAATTCTTACTCCCACTACATCAAATCTGCCCAGGGACAGCAGCTTCTCCCAGATGAGGTTTGTGACAGAGAGGAGAGGAATGGAGGAATGGACAGACAGGGGAATCTAACATTTTCTGTACTATCAGGTGTAATTATGCATTGATTAGTTTTGCTAAACTGCCTTTTTGTCTTTCCTTTTTAGAGTGTGAGCTCCTTGAAAGCAGGAACTGTGGGGTATTTTTCTTTCTTTGTATCACTAACATTTGCACAATGCCTGGAAAATAGTAATTGCTTAAGAAATGCTTGCTGACTGACCTTCCCCCCTCTTCTTCCTGGGAATGGTCCACAGTTTAGGGGAAGGTAGAGGGAAGGATATATTTAGAAATGAAGATGATACAAAACCAAAAGATATCAAAGAAAATTTAAAATTTTTTTCAAAAGGCCTGGTTCAGAATCATTCACTTCTTCCAGCATCTGCAACCATTACCTGATTCACCAAAACTCAAGCCTCATAATTTCTCACTCTCTTAGAACTGCATTCATTCACTCTTGTTTGTGATGCTTTTTATGAGTGTCCTATGTTTCCTATCAGATGGTAAGGTTCTTGGGATCATGAACCAACTTTCCTATTACTTTTGTATCCCTTGGCAGCCCTTGGGACAGTCTTCTGTGCATAGGAGAAATTCAACGTGCAGAGAGAGTCTGATGAGAGAAGATGCTCTTACAGAGCTTCCTGGGACACTCACATTGGTAGCTTCTTGGACCAGCCTCTGTTCATTGTACAATATGTGCCGGATGCATCGGACCAACTCCATGGGGCAGCGGTCATAAGTGCTCTGAAAGAATCAAACACCAAATGAACCTTCCCACTACCTCTGAAGACTCCCATCCATGGTCTTCTGTTCCAACTATATGCGTTTCTCCAAACCAATAACTTTTTTAAAAAAAAATTTCTCACTGTGTCATTCTCCTTTATTTCAGAATACCATCTCTCTTTCTTTCAACTAACCTGTAGCTTTTGCCTCCTTCAAACCCAAAGCAGTATTTACTTCTTCCAGAATGTCCTCATGGATTATCTTCATCTGATTCAATATTTATTGAGGAAAGGGAGAAAGGAAGGGAGGGAGGGAGAAAAGAAGGGAGAGAGGAATGGATTTCTCTTTAACTCTGCATCCCTTTAACACTGGTGCATTTAGTTTACACCATGAGCCTTTGGACTTATAGATAAATATAGATATAGATATGTATATTATATATAGAGAGAGATATGGAAGATCTCTCTATATACATTTTCTTTCAAAAACAACAAACATTTATGAAGCACTTGGAAGATATTGTGTTGAGCTTTCCTTAGCATAATTATCATAAGTAATCCTTCCCTTGTGCCTCATTGTTCATGTCTAGGACATACTTGGCACAGCGGGTCATCTCTATTAACACTTAACCTCTTTTGAATTAAATGCTATCCCTTTCCCTTCAACCTTAACACTCCAGGATCCTGTTTTCAGTAGGGATGTACCTCCACATTTTACGTCTCGTCTGTCCTCTTATCTTCTGATTAGAGGATAGATTAACCGTGCTCCGGATGGGAATCTTATATTTAAACGATACTCTAGTAAATGATCTTGCCACTTCCTTTTCCCTGCTATTCCATAATCTGGTAATCTTTTTTCTCCTTGAGATTGGTAGCCTTGACTGTGTTCTAATCTTTAGTCTTCTCACTATGATAAACTCTCACAGTCTCTTGTCTTTGACACTATTTCATTTATCATTCCCCCTTCAGACAATACTCCTCTACCTTGTAACATAAGAAAAACAAGTCTAGGATACAAGTTACAAAGAAGAGGTGGGAGGGAATAAATGGAAACACAGGAAAGTTTAGCAGTTGGCTCAAGGTCACATAGTTTGCAAGGCCAGGATTTGAGCCCAAATGTTTTGATGCTAGGAAGAAGAAAGGGGAACATAACGTACCAGGAAGATGGCTCCAGATTTCACACCCACCTGCAGCTGAGTTGCATAATGCCCTAACTTGATCTTCAGTAAAAACCCATCTTCCCCCACTTGGTGTTCAGCCTTCTTCTG